TCATTCATTGAGGAGAAATTTGGAAAACAAAAGTTTTTCCACTCAAGGTTCATTTTTAAGTAGTATATATATTGATTAGTAATTACCCGTACTTGAAAGCACTACGTTACTCTAAAAAAATTGTAAATATTTTTTCATAAATAAATGCAATGTATAATGCAATTTCAACAATGTAACGATCAAATTGATATTGTTCAACCTGTATGCAGAACATATATAATCAATTTTTTATATAGTGAAAGTCACGTTACAACTACTACAAAATATTAATTAAAAAATTTGAGAAAATATAATTATTATTGGTTAAATATCCACAATTTTAACATTTCTAATAAACTTTATCTCAAATTTTAAAAAAATATAACTATTTGTTTATCTGCAGGTTTCTACCTAAAGTTCATAACATTATCTCTAAATCATTTTTCTAATGTGAGTTCGTGTAATTTTTGTGAGGAAAACATCCAAAAGTTTCATATGAATTTTTGTAGATGTAAAAAATTTTGTTGAGTAATTAAAATCAGTTTTCATTTGATTTCAACTTAAATATTTATAAAATTCAATCGAATTTAAGTTTGGGTGTGACTATTCCCACCCAATTTAATTTCTCATTATCAAATTATTAAGTTCACTTCTTCTATATTCACCAAATTAATAATTAAGTTCACCCTATGCTACATACAACCCGTTTAATAAGTAAACTCAACTTATATTTTGTCATAATTAGGGTTTCATTCTCTATTTCATCTGATGCACTCACAAAAATACTTTTTAATATTAATTTTTTCAATGAGATACATGTTAGTATTACTTTTTAATTTAATTATATATTTGATTTTATATTTGTTGAATGAATTTTTATTATTTTTGGTATGTTTTGATATCTCTGTCAAGTTTAATAATTTTTTATTTAGAATGTATATGTGTGTGTATCTATATATATGATTTTCAGATTATTTGTTATTTTTTTAATCTTGTTTAGGTTTTCTATCTATACTTCTTTTTTTTTTTGTTCGATTTTGCATTTGTGCTTGATATTTTTTTTTCATGTCTGATTTTGCGTCTTGTGGTTTCACATTTTGTAGTTTTACTTGTTCCTTTAAGTTTTGATTGGTTTTTTTTATTCCCTCTTATTTCGATTTACTTTTTTTTTTCCCTTATTTTGTTATTTTCTTTTTAAGATGTATGTAGCATGAGGTGGACATAAAAAAGGTAGATTTAATAGTTTAATAATTAGAAATTAAATGGAGTGAAAATAATCTCACTCTTTAAGTTTTAGCAAGAATTTATCATTTATACACGACAGTCAAATTCAGTTCAATTTGAATCTTAATTATAAGAGTAATGCTACATTGACCAAATTTTGGGACCAAATTTGGAACTCAAATGACGTGACAGTTAAATATTTGAAGTTTTTATTGGGGCCCAAATGACATGACATCAATCAAAAAAATCCAAGTCAACTGCCATGTCATTTGAGTTTCAAATTTAGTTTCAAAATTTGATCAGTTTAGTATTACTGTAATTATAATTACGTCAAACTGATAATTGAATTTAAGTTTGACTCAATTAACACTTTTATTTTAAACCTACAAACTAATTTTTAATTATCATGTTCACTGTGATGTCATCACTTCTTTATTTTTTTAATTTAGTTATTTTTTATTATTTTTACGATTAATTTTACTTTGATTGTAAAAATGATCATAATTACTTCGAATACTAATTATAATCACTTTGAATCGGTAATCGAGTAAAATAAAATTTGAAGGAGGAATTTCAATTATTTGACCAATAATTTTAAAAGAATCTAAGTCACGAAAAATTCAAGACAAATAATGATAGCCCCCTTAGTATATAGATATATCACATTACACAATTTGATAATTATAGTATTTTTATTTCAATACAAAATATGACCTATATTATAGTCATTTTACTCGTTTTGACGCAAAGAATATTTATTTAAGGTCCATTTGTTTATTTAAATTTTTTAAAAATAATTTTTAATTAGAATCATAATTAACGACCTAATTAATGTATAGTATGAGATAGAGAGTTATAAGAGAGATATAAGTTTTAGAATTGTGGAATGAATGAAAGTCTTATTCAAAATATTGGGGGAGAGGACTTTTCATATTAGGACCGTAGGATCATTATTTCTTCAAGTGATTTGAGCCACGAAAAACTAAAAATAAAGGAATTTAACTACTTTATTATATAGATTTATAGTCATTGATTATAAAAAAACGTTGCATTTGTTAACATTTGGTTGAGTAAAACACGGACGCAAATTTTGAAACCGTTTATCGCAGATCGACCTAATTTAAAAATCACGTCTTTTAGAAAACAATTGTGACTAACCTTTAACTGCTTAGAAGACGTAGAAATTATTGAACCATTATATATACATATACACACAGAGTCACATAGGTCCACAATTACATAGATACTTATACCAATGGTCCAACTCTGAACTAACACAACTGTCAAGAATATCATTAAAGAAAATATAAATGCACCATGGAAAACAACTCAAAAGAGTTCCCTAAATGCCCTTTTTTTGAGGTGCCAGTTAGATGTGGCAGTGGCACACCCTCATCATACAACACAACCAAACCAATACGACTATCCTCTTTCTCTCTCTCATTTATATATACATATATACAATTCAGTTCCCTCTTCATATTATGCTATGCCAAGAAGTTCGGGACGAATTTCTCGCAAACGTTTGAAGCATTCATAGAGCTCTGATCTACTTTTTGATCATTCCCAATGCATTTCCTGGTCGGTTCTTTATGCCTCACCTTGATCTCAATCTAATCCTTATCCTATAATTCATATGGGTGTATTAGACCTTTTGATGATAAACTCGATTGAAAAAGTAGGATTCTGATTCAAATAACCGAGGCGTTTAGAGGTTTTCTTAGGCCAAACGGAAATTGGCCCTCGAATGTAAAGGCAGAAACGAGCTTGTGTGTGAGTTGAGGTTAAAAGTTGGCGTCTATTTGGTGTTTTGATTGTATTTCATTGATTCATTTGGAGGATTTCACATGGATTACATAAGATGAAAGGTCCAAAAAGGGAATTGGGTTGTTGTTGATGGGGTCTAACAGAACCTGGTTCATCATCTGGGTGATGTTCTATGCATTTTTATTGCAATTTGTTGATGGCACTGTTAGCTCTTACCGCAAAAATTTGGATAATTTTCTTCATGATCAAGCAATCAAGTCATTAGCAAAGCCTCATACAGGTATACTATACAATATTTCTCTCCCTGCTAATTTTTCTGGCATGGAAATTTCAATTGTTAGACTCAAAAGTGCAAGTTTCTGGGCAAGAGGAGCCAATTTTAGTTTCTTTCACATCCCACCAAGAATAATCCCAATGCCTTTTGTAAAAAGACTTGATCTAGTCTATCAAAATCTAGGAAACTGGTCATCTCAGTACTATACTCTGCCAAATTATACTCTAATCACTCCTGTTATTGGCTTTATGGCCTTCAGTTCAAATACAAGCACAAGAGGCAATGAAATGCTTAATCTAAGTATCATGGGGGAGCCCATTTTGGTTCATTTTCCTCAGGTTTTTCCACTGCAAAAAATTAGAAATTTGACAATGAAATGTGTCAGATTTGGGTCAAATGGGTTGGTTGAATTAAGCAATGTGACCAAGCCAAGCTCTTGTATTGCTAGGGGTCAAGGTCATTTCACTATTGTGACTCCATTTTCATTGAAGAAGAAAGAGAGGTTATTGAAAGGGTGGATTATAGGGTTTGGGGTAGGAGTTTTTGGATTGGCGTTGGTAGGTTTGGCTTGGGTTTTGATACACAGACAGGCTAGGAAGAAGAGATTGGGGCAAATGGAGAGAGAATCTGAAAAAAGTGAGGCTTTGGGAACTATTTGGGTTGGAAGGAGTAGAATGCCAGCTGCTACAGGGATGAGGACACAACCAGTCCTTGAGAATGATTATGTTCCTTGACTTGCAACTTGCATTCCAGTGTTTTTTTTTTTTTTTTCCATTTTACAATTTTTTTATAAGTGATTACATATTTGTTTTTGAATTTTAGTTTGTTCATAGGAGATTTGTTTCTTTAATTTGTTTTGTTATTTATCATGACTAACAAATATTTTTCAATTTTCTGGAAGGAGTTTGTGTTTGTGTGCATGCATGGGTGCCCAAGTGATGGCCCAAGACACATAGACACTCGTCATTATGGAATTTAGAGATGATTAGACGGACACAATCTTTATCTTATGACTAGAATCCAATACCATATATTAAAAAAAGGTCAAACGCAAGGTGAAATTCAGTGGAATAGATAATGAATTGCAGCTTCTTATGCAATTAGTTACTGAAACAACCAGAGAAACTAAATAAATATTTTGGAGGGTAACCCCTAAAGCTCGAGAAAATATTCAATGCAATGGTGATATCATGATAGTATTAATGATATGGTATCACCAACTAATAATTAAATCTCAATTGGACAAAGTGAATTCTCTTTTAGTTGTTATTGGCTAACATAAACAAGTAGTTATTGACTCTTGTGAGTTTGTTTTCCTATTTTTTTACACATTATTAGTTGGTGATATTAGGGGACAATGTTGATGTGATATCACTGTTGCAAAGAAACTTTTTTCCTGATGCTCAACCTATTTTATCAATTGCATATAGTTCATGGAAAATTAGAAAGAATAAAGTTGCATACACAAACTCTTTCTACTACATTTTTTATAGCAAGCTCTTAGTGCGATTACAATTGTTGGACATACATCGGGGTGGTATAATTACAAACGTTGGATGTACAGGTGTCACTGAGAAATTAAATATTTTACTAATATAATAATTCACGTTGATTTGTTAATTGTTACTATATACGTCTTTTTTGAGAGTTTGATGATTTAAACATTATTGTTATAACAATCAAAGAAGTTTGACAATTTATTGATTTGTTTTTTTTGATAAAACAGAAAATTTGGTAAGTGAAAATGCGCAAAAGATTAAATGAACCGATAAAGTTTGGAGATGAAGAAATGATCATGAAGTGAAAATGGTGGATCAAAGTAAGAGCCACTTAGAATGGCATGTGCAACAAGCTTGTTTGCAGCTTCTGTGGTATGAATGCCATCCCAGCTCACATAGTTCCTTGGGTCACTACAAGCTCTTGCTGTGACATTCTTTCCGTTAATCACATTGCTGTTTCCACATATAACTCGAGGGTCAAAATTGTAGGCACCTCCCCCATATCCACAACATGCTTTGGTACTATATTTCAACCCTGCCCCAAATAAAGCAAACATACAAAATATTAGAATGCAAAATTGTTCAACTTTACAACATAAAAACAAATAATAATTGAGCAAATTTTCAATCTCATATCACAACATACTAGACATTAGGGGTATAAATGAACCGAACAAAACCTAGGTAGTACCAAATAGTTCAAGCTCGGCTCGATCATTTTCAAAGACTATTCAAACTCGGGTAAGGAGTGTGACATGTTTCAAACATTTGTGGAAATTCTATGGGTTAATTATTTAGTCTAAACATAGGTTCAGCTTATCAAACGAACCGAACTTGAGCTTGTGTCCGAGCTTAAACTCTAGTTTAGAATGTGTTCAAAAATCAAGTTTGGTTATATATGAGTACACACACATACTAATAATGTTCTATTACACAAGTTTAATGAGTAAATAAGTAATTGCTCTAACTTGACTTGTTTTTTACATGAGCTCCGAAATAAAACTTGGCCTTGGTTCATCTGATTTTTAGTAACTCACAAATCTCAAGTTCAATCCCTTGTGATACTCCCTAAGGACTAATTACCCTTGTTCCTCAGGACATACTTTAACTCAGTTCAAGGCATGATAACAACTGTTAAGTTCAAAAAAATAGTCGGTGCAAGTCTAAACATCCGATAACAACAAAAAAAAAAACATAGTGTTGGAAAACCATACCACGAGAGGTGGGGTGCTGGAAGAGATCTAGCAGAACAGAGTGAGTATCAACATATATAATATTAGCATGGGGAAGATCCTGTCTGGTTTGGGTCAGAGCTGCTTTCAACATGTTGTTATAATCAACCACTGCATTGTTGTAGGACATCATGCACCCAAA